CTTGTGTTTAATTTCCCTCCCCTGCCACCTTGCATAGACACTTTACTAGCAAAACTTTAAACTTTCAAGATTATTTCAGCACTGGTCGCCTATGTATTTCCCTTGGTTATCATTTACAGTTAGAATATGGTCAATTATCACTACCAACTGATCATATACAGAAAATGTTTTTTTAAGTATTGTCCTCCATTGTTTTTTTTACATAAATCATGACATATAGTCGACAAGGCAACTTGGTACTGGGCGCCGCCATTATTATTTACATGCACAGGAACTTGGTATTAGTTTCTAATATATGTGTATTATATAATGTATGATATAAAAAATGGGGACCATAGGATGGTAATTTGTCCCTGTGCCAGGTTCAATAATTTGAAAGCTTAGAGAACAAGGCTGAAAACATGTATGGAATGTGTTTTTTTTAAGGGAGTCTGTATAAACACATTATGAATATGTAAAATTATGATGGAAGTCCATTTTACTCGAATTACCTGACGTTATTTTCAATACCTTCAGTTCATCTATATTTCCACACTGTTCTCGGTATTCCGTCTATGCGTATTGCAGAGTTATCTTCTCTTGTGAGCAGGTATTGATTGTTACATCATTGGCTTGTGTGAGATAATTACGTCGTTTTCTCGAAAATTGATGACGTTACTCTCACAAACAAATGATGTAACAATCAATACCTGCTCACAAGAGAAGATAACTCTGCAATACGCAAAGACGGAATAAGGGATAGGAATCAGTTTGTTTTTTGGGTTTTATAAATCCTCGCAACCCTTTTTAAGTCATATGTATAAGAAAGGTCTGCCAAATATCTGATTCTTTGACAACTTTACTACAAATATATAGCAGGATTTGAGCTTTCTATATCAACTGCACTACACTTCATATTATTTGTTGACGTTTTTCTGCTACAATACATGGAGTTTCCTCACAAGATACTGGTAACCAAAAAGAGTCTGAAACCTTAATCATATCTTTTAGAAATCTGTGTTTAAAAAAAATGTTATACATGTATCTCTTCGATCCACTAAACATCAACAAACAACATTTAAACCCTTCATTCCCTAAATCTGTTATTAAAAGGATTGTAAAAAAAAATGTGTTCGCTTAAATGTTAAAATATTTCTGTTCAACATTCATATTTACAGTGGTGTTAAAATCCACTAATACGTAAGTTGACATAAAATTGTACTGCAGTATTTTTTGGTCTGATTTTTGACAGCTAAATAAGTCTCATCAAGGGTCATTGACCTGTCAGAAGTTGCAGTAGGCAAAGTTATTTGACTTTGGTATGGAATCATCCTAAAAATAGAAGAAAGTAAGGGCTGGATTTTCATGAACTTGAAGAGTTGTGCCCCTTTGTTTGCTTTCCTATACATCTTATTCTGCCAGTTTATCATTCATATTTTTATTTTTCCATTTGTTATGCACTTCATATACATCTGATGAGAATGAGAGATATTTAAAAATGCACAAAATTCGCCAAGAAAGCTGAAAGTTACAAAAGGCCAAAAGGTGAAACTTGACACCATGCACGCCGGGTTTGAACATTTTACTGTATTGTTTGTTTTACTTTCCATGTGGGGAGGATTTTTAATGCATCTCGACTGTTATATTAATCAATTAATTTTCATTTAGATGGTGTCCCTGAGAATTATTTCTTATATAATTTTAAAATTTGTTTCAAGTAATACTCATACTCTCTGTTTTAAACTAGGAACACTTGCTAGGTACTCTAAGTATTTGTGCGGTTATGATTGATTGTCTTCCTTTGGATAATATTTCTGTGAGTTGTGTCCCTCACATGATTTCCTCACATTTTTTTCTGTTATATATCGGATATAGTTTGTTACTTCTGTAAGTTCCAAGTTTCCTTTTAGATAAAATATGTCATGTTTAGGTGATTTTTGAGAATTGGTGGTTTTGCGAAATTTGCTTTTTGTTTTGCAAGGTACCAATATTTTTTTGTTTATAACATATATAGGGTGCTCCCATAGCTACCACTTTCTTTAAAATGTAGATTTTCTTCCCGCTGTTTTTGGAAAAAAACATCCAGAAATTTTAGAAAGTTTTGAAGTTTTGCTTAAAACTTACCATACTGACAATGTCAGACAATTTCAGACATGCGAAACATATAATAATGTGTAATTCTTCTTGAATTTGGTGTACAGATAGATCTTGAATTGACAGATCTGTCAGATCAGCACAAATTACTTATATTGGAGTCTACATAAAGAGTTATGTCCCTTTACTTTCTTTTTCAAGATTACATGAATCAAACAATTTTCTACTCGAGTCATCGAATCTATCAAAACATAATTTACATACAATGTACATGGGGGAGGGGCTAAAAGTTCGCCCCCTTAAGAATCGGGGATTTATTTTCATGTCTACTACTTGGGGGACATTGAACAGACCAAAATAGATCTTCTGCCCCCATTGCAACACACTTGGGATCTTAAATCTTTCCTTTCTTTCTTCACTGTTCTGCCTTTCCTTGGTTGTGCCGCCTGAGAAGCATGGCGAAAACTTAAGGATCAGTCTGTCCGTCATCACACATTGTCATTTGCGGCGGCAGTCACATTTAAGTTTTCCAGACTTTGTTTGGCCACCATTTACCATATCAATTTGTAACTTTGTATGTGGCTTAATCATAATAGATTACAGATTAGATTAAGTTTGAATCACATGCTAATATTTTATTTTTTTGCTGGAGTTACATGTATGGCCCTTCACACATTGGAAGTTCTCATAATTAACTGTTTGCCATACTTTGTTCGTTACCACTTGCCACTTAGTATGCGGCTTTATCATAATGGATTACAGTTAGAGTCCAAACCCTGTGTCAATATTTCATTTGTTGCTGGAGTTATGGCCCTTCGCACATAAGAAATCTCATAATTAATGTTTTCCCAGACTTTTTTTCGCTACCACTTGCAACATCAATTTGTTACCTAATATGTGGCTTTGTCATAATGGATTACAGTTTGAGTTCAAATCCCGTGTAAACATTCCTTTTTTTGCTGGAGTTATGGCCCTTCGCACAAAAGAAATTATCAAAATAAACTTTTGTTTGGACTTATTTCGCTACCGCTTGCCATATCAATTTGAACCTTTTTGTGGCTTTATCATAATAGATTACAGAGTTTGAACCATGTATTAAAATTCCATTTTTGACTGGAGTTATGGCACTTTTGCACATAGGAAATTCTCATAATTAACTGTTTTCCATATTATTTGCAACTTAGTATACATGTATAATGGATTACAGTTTGAGTTAGAATCCAGTGTCCATGTTCTAGTTTTTCTGGAGTTATAGCCCTTTGCACATAGGAAATTCTTATAAGTAACTGTATTTGTTCCGTCAACACATGCACTTCCTTCGAATTGCAGCTTTCTTCTATAGGTGACACCCGTCCTCATATGACCCTGGCTGTTCGAGGACATAAATCACCTGATACAGTACATCATTTGAAGTCCTTCTGTATGGCTTGATGATGTTTTCAAACCAATGGTCTAGAGCATTACTTGGTTAAGAAGACTGAATGCCGTTTAACAGAGAGTCTCTCTCATAATACTCTGGCTCCCTATGGGGAGTAGTGGGGTCCACAAGGGGGGTTCTCCGATTCAATTACACAATTTGTTGTTAGGACCCCTGCACATCTTTAGTAATCAGATTTTCCGTCTGTCCTTCTATCTGTTTTTAGCTCACCTGCCAAGGACAAGTGAGCTTTGGCCCTGGTGCGGCGCCCGGCATCCCGTCCTGTCCCGTTGCGTCGTGTCCCGTCTCTATTCAATGTAAACACTTAGCAACTTCATTCATTAACAGATTTTGGTCAAACTTTATACAAAGGTCAAGTTTGGGTATACTTCGGACATCTTTGTATTTCAGGGATCCAAGGTCAAGGCCAAGGTCACATTTGCTATATATAGAAAATCATCCTGTCCCGTCTCTATTCAATGTAAACACTTAGCAGCTTCATTCTTTCACGGATTTTGGTCAAACTTTATACATAGAAAATCATCAACTGATTCAATTTAAACACTTAGCAACTTCATCCAATATGTTATGGAGATAGTAATAACATACAGAAAAAACATATGAATATTAAAGTCAACTTATCAACTTTAAGTGTAGAACCTTGTGTGTGTGCATACATGGACTTTATGCAGTGTAATAAAATGTTTGCTTAACCTTTTGGATAGCTTTTCAGCCTTTGATATCAGAGGTCAAGGTCACTTACTATAAATAGAACATCAGTTTGTGCACTGTATTTCAAATTCTGTTGGACTGATTACACTCAGATTTTATCTTGTCCTTCCTGGAAGAACGTGCCTGCTTGGGATAACTTTTCAGGTCCAGTGGTCAAAGGTCAATGGGTCACTCTAAATAGAAAATCTGTTTAATGCACTAATGCACAATATCTTGATTTCTCTTGGGCTGATTACACTCTTGACTTTATACAGTGCTTCTTCAAAGAAAGTGCCTGCTTGGGACAACTTTCCAGGCCCGGGTGTTAGGTCTCTATCACTGTTACTATATGAATAGAGAATCAGTTTATAAAATGCACTACTTATATTTTGAGTTCTGTTGGGCTGATTACACTCAAGACTTTATCCATTGCTTTTATAAAAAAAACTTGCTTTCACTAGTGTTTGCTACATGTATACCTAACCACAGTTTCTTTTAAATCTTCAATAAACATAATTATGGATAATAGTCACGGCGGCATTTAAAATATATATATAAATCTTATTACCGGTTAGCTTGTAATAATAATAATAATAATAATACTAATTCGAGGTTCTTATATCCCGCTTATCACAACCTAGTTAGTAGGTCGTCTCAAAGCGGTTCACAAATTATTATCCGTGGTTATAGGGCCTTTGCAACCAGCCAATATCGTTCTCAGCTCCCTGGGGAGCATACAGCCGGTGCTGCCATTTCGGCGCTAACAGCTAGCATTCAACAATTCTAGCACCGCCCAACCACGTACTCATTTACAGCTGAGTAGACTGGAACAAGCGGAGTAAAGTATCCTGCTCAAAGATACAACACGGTGTCGTGCCGTGACTTGAACATGAACCCGCTAGACTACCGTGACTCCTAATAGCGACAAGCATTCTTCAATGGCAGATCGACAAGGACCCCGGACAAAAAGCGATTTGAACAGCTGTTAGTTTATTCGTGTAAATAAACATGTACAATTACATAGACATTTCAACTGTTAAGAAAGAAAGATAGAACATTATATTAGGGATAAAGAAAGTAACTGATGCAGTTTATTATGATAACTTAATGTAGTTTAGTTATAATTGCTTGTAAATATTCTTGTTGATATGATAACATTTTGAGAAGCTGAAATGTTTTTACATTTTGATCATACGTTCTTGATACATCACCAAACAGTAATAAATCAACACTTAATTGGTAAGGCAAAGTAGTCAAGTATCCGTGGCGTGATTCATTGTGATCAGTACAAGTCAACAAATAGTGGGAGCTGTCTTCTACAAAATGGCCACATGAACATAAGGGATTGTCAACAAGATTTCTTTCAAAGAGATGGCGTTTTAAAGAACTGCATCCGAGACGTAGTCTAGTATGATATAATTGATACTGTCTCGATCCTTCATAATAATATTCAAGGGGCGTCCCCTTAAGTTTTGGTCGAGATAATCTTTAAATTTGGCCAACGAAGGATTAAAACGAATTTCCTCCGGAATATTATTCCTGTTGATGAGCTGAATATTCTTATGAAGTATACAGTGCCATGGCGACTAATCCCTCATTAAGGCGGCCGGTAACCGAATTAGTTCTGGTGTTTAACATTTACTCACTTTTAAGGTTACTGGATTAAAATATATTTCAAGCATTTCTCCTTAATTATCTGAATATTTCATGTTATTATATGTGCCTTTGATCCTCAACTCCATAAAATTTGTTTAAATGAATGACCTTGGCCACTTTTAGGGTCACAGAGGTCATACATTATGAAAATTCAAATGACTTTAATCTAGGCAAGCTTACACGTATCTTGATATTTAGCATGTAGCTTGAATGGAATAGGTGGGACGTTTATTGTGTAAATGAAATGTCTTGGTACAATTCAAGATGAAATGTGTCTTATACTCAGAAGTTCAGATGAGTAATTAAAAACCTTAACTCCACTGTCAAATCTGACTGATTTTAGAAATAGGTATATAAATTAGCGAAAAAGAAACCAAATTAGGTTTGACATTGAAAAAACGGACAACCCTGATAGTAATTATCTTTGCAAAATCAGTTTTCCATGGGGATATGGGCGGTTCTAAAACATGTATACCATGGTCTCAATACACACAATAATAAAATCTTATTCTAAACACTAACAGACATAAGGTACTGAGGAGACAATAGCAGAAATGGACGCGGAAGTGACACCAGGCCCTCCTGAGGATACGCATGTTTACCAACATGTGGTATATTTCTTGATGTCGTTTGTAAAATCTTAGACAGATACTGTTATCCCGAAGGTACCAGGTTTGAAATCACCCTAGTAGAAAACCCTGGCTAAATGGGATATTAGTCGACAGCAAGGACGCATTTAATCACAATATCCTGATACGGATTATAAACTTTAGTGAGTCAAATTTGACAACTAAATAAACAGAGGTGGCTGATAGGTTACGAACGTGTCTACATCCTTCCTTGGTGAGTTACGTCTCGTTTGTGAAAGCAGACTTTGAAGTCGCTGGGACAGTAGGTAATATTTAAGGCTCCACGGACTGGTTCTGTGTCATCAGCATGACGACTCACTGTGTAAGCCTGGACCAGTGACGTCAGGAACAGCATCAGGTTCGCCCGGGCTATTTGCTCACCCACACATAACCGTTTTCCTATAAAAGTTCATTTGGAAAAATAATGAGTTATTATGACATTACATTGTAAATGATCAAGTAAAACTTGTCTAGAGACAAAAAATATGTGATTTATCTTAGGTAAAAAGATTGGACCGCATCAAAACGACATCAAGATTTGTTAAACAAGTAAAGACAGTTGGCAACAATAAACTCTTACCAAAGTAGAACAAATCACTTACCAAAGTAGAACAAAGCACTTACCAAAGTAGTACAAAGCACTTATTGAAGTAGTACAAAGCACTTACCAAAGTAGGACAAAGCACTTACCAAAGTAGGACAAAGCACTTACCAAAGTAGAACATAGCACTTACCAAAGTAGTACAAGGCACTTACCTAAGTAGAACAAAGTACTTACCAAAGTAGAACAAAGAACTTACCTAAGTAGAACAAAGTACTTACCAAAGAAGAACAAAGCACTTACCAAAGGAGAACAAAGCACTTACCAAAGTAGAACATAGCACTTACCAAAGTAAAACAAAGCACTTACCAAAGTAATACAAAGCACTTACCAAAGTAATACAAAGCACTTACCAAAGTAGAACATAGCACTTACCAAAGTAGTACAAGGCACTTACCTAAGTAGAACAAAGTACTTATTGAAGTAGAACAAAGCACTTACCTAAGTAGAACAAAGTACTTACCCAAGTACAACAAAGCACTTACCAAACTAGTACAAAGCACTTACCAAAGTAGGACAAAGCACTTACCAAAGTAGAACCTAGCACTTACCAAAGTAAAACAAAGCACTTACCAAAGTAGAACATAGCACTTACCAAAGTAGAACATAGCACTTACCAAAGTAGAACATAGCACTTACCAAAGTAGAACATAGCACTTACCAAAGTAAAACAAAGCACTTACCAAAGTAATACAAAGCACTTACCAAAGTAGAAAAAAGCACTTATTGAAGTAGAACAAAGCACTTACCAAAGAAGAACGGAATAAATGTCTCCGGTTTGAAAACTTTCCCTTCTGCATCAATAAAACGTTCTGGTTTGAACTCATACGGACTTTCGAAATTGTCTGGGTCCTTGAGTACAGAGTCAATGTTTGGTATAATGGTGGTTCCTTTGGGTATAAAATACCCATCAAGATATGTGTCACAATTAACTGTATGAAGAAGTCCGACAGGCGCAACATCAGAATGTCTGAGAAGTTCCATAACGAACGCCTCAACATATGGCATTGCCTGTTTATCAGCCATAGAAGGAAGAGTGCCCGCTGGGAGAGCCTGGTCTACCTCCTGCTGTAGACGTGACTGGACATCCGGGTACTGGGTGAGATAAACCAGGGCCCAGCGTAGCGTACTTACAGTGGTCTCCAAACCCGCGGCGAACATGTCGGACACCGTCTGGGTCACCTGATCTTCTGTAACAACCAAACGCATCTAAAGATAGTTGTATAAGTACCATCTTCCTGAATATAATTGGAATGCATTCTTTTTGTAACAAATTCTCATCCGTGATTGTACAGTTTTGAGACTAATAGTAAACGCGAAGACAACACCACAAGCTAGAATGATCACTGAAGACATTTAGAAAGTATGTATATGAGAAGTCATATGGGTGAGAGTGCAACAGGAGTGTAGCAGGACGTCAATTTGATACTAGGATCGATGCCACTAGCGTCTAGCGTAAACTGATATAATAGATGATACTAGGATCGATGCCACTAGCGTCTAGCGTAAACTGATATAATAGAAGGTTCGAGGTTCATTTTTGATGCCAAAATTGTTTGGAGGTTGAATCTATGGATTGCTTGAAATGATATGCCTTGTTTGAAATATGGACTGTATTTCCATGAGAGTGCTATACGTCAACCTCGTACATCGTAATACGTTACTCTCGATATACCACATACTACATATATTCTTTGTACATACTGTACTGTCGTATGCTACAATTTATTTGATTTGAAACTGGGGTAATTTCGTCTCCCAAATATAAAACTGCCACACCAGTATAATATAGAGTAAATGTAAATAGTTTCAGTCAATACCTACCGTCTAGTTCAGATTCACTGGTTTTGAGGTACGCTTCCATCAGATCACGTGGTTCCCCTTCGCCCAAACTCTGTTGCAGCTTCTCACCAATCTTTCCCTTCACGAAAGACGTAGTTTTCTGGTGTAGATCCTCCACTCTGGCATGGTTGAACAAATCTACTGGGAGGTATCGGAGAAAAGGTAAGAAGTCCAGGATGACTGCCTTCGCGGTTAAATGAACTACCTCATTGTGTTGCTCTACATAGCTTTTGAATTTAACTGTATCGGTATCAAATATTTTGCCAATCATGACCTCGCCTACTACACTTGAAATAACATCAATTAGGAGTTGTTTTGGGTCCACAGCACAGCCATCTAGAGAAGAAATGTTGTCATGGAAACGATGGATTTGTTTATGGATAATCGTTTCCAAGATTGTTGTCCTTGCGCATAAGTGTCTGAAATTTTTAAGTACTATTTGTCTTTGATTCTTCCATCTTGGGCCATTAAGAAGTATTATACCTGAAAAATAAACGATATTTAAATAAATATATATTGGTATAGGTATAACATAGAAACATAGTAACACAGTATAAACATGGATGGCAATACTATATATCAGACACTGTAGAATTACGATAGCTAGTTCATATTTGAAACCTTTGGGTAACATTCACTAGTGTATATGATACATTTTGTTTATAACTGGATCTGTAACATTGTAAGCCTGTTATAACTATACCGTGAACTTCAGATCGTTTGTCCTCCAAGGGTTTATTCCATCCGATGATACTTGTCGAATCTATCATATTTAGGTATGTGGAACAATAAGGTTATTTTACCCGAGGTTATAGAACTTGGGGTTACAGCCGAGGTTCTGAAACCCAATCCTGCATCTGATGGTTGACTATCCATATCCTTACAATCTACATACTGATTTAATTATCTTTTCTACAAAGGTGGGGTCAACATTTGGCCCCCACTTTGATTTCCTTTATTCTTTTGCCATATGTAGATACATAAAAATGATCAATAACTGCATAAATGATTATTCATAATTGTTACTGATAACCGTAGTGGACCTCCTTGCATAACACCAGGTTGAGTGACGGGGGTATCCTAACAAAATGACCGATAAATATCACAGGCAAATGTTAATTTGGAAATGAATTATGATAGTGTATAGTTTATAAAACTACTGTTATTTTGATACTAAATATGTCATATTGGTAGACATGAAGTAAGCGTAGTGATACTTTTAATTGGAAAAACATGCAAAATTTTCACAAAATTTAAAATAAAACTAACATTGTCAACTTGCCTTTATATAGTTACAATGATAGTCTATATTTTAAACTTCTTAAAAAACTTCCTATATATGTATTCTGTCTACAGATTCATTTTTGTGTAATATCAAAACCGGTAAAGTACTTTTTTTAGCATGCCAAACATTATCAATGCCCAATTTCACATAACCTTGAAGATTTGACTATCAATGTTTTTTATAATAAATACCGATACATTTTCTGTTTTTGTATCATACTAAAACACTTTATTATGTTAGGCATGTTTTCAAGTTATGTGCAGCAGTAATAACTCATGAATATGTATTCTGTCAAAGTAATCTTTCCAATGGAGAACTACTTTAGGTTTGAGATTGTGTTATAGATAAAGCTATGCAATTATCTAAAAATAAATTAAATAATCTTAATAACAAAACTATTATACACTTTATTATACCCCCGCAACGAAGTTAGGGGTGGGGTGGGGGTGGAGGGGGTGGGGTATACTGGAATCAGCTTGTCTTTCCGTCTATCTGTCAACTCATTCTAAAGTAGTGGACCATTTTCAACGAAAGTTTCCAGATATGATAATTGACACCTGAAGTTGTGCATCCAGGTAATATTTTTTAATTCTGACCTTTCTTCCCTCAACGTTATGGCCTTGTGTTGAAAAATCCTTGTCCGGCTATGTCCTCCAAAACTAAGGGGTCAATTTCAACGAAAGTTTCCAGATATGGTAACAACCGTCTGATGGTGTGCATCCAGGAATTCTTTTTTCAATCTGACCATTTTTTTACGGAGTAATTGCCCTTTGTTGAAAAACACTTGTCCGGACAACTCCTCCAAAACTATGGGGCTAATTTCAACGGAAGTTTACAGATATGGTAACTGCCCCCTGACATTGTGCATCCAAGAAGTATGTTTTCATTCCGACCCTTTAAAATGGCCTTTTCTTGAAAATGTTTGTCTGCCTCTTAAACTTCTGGGCCAATTTCATGAAAGCTTACAGATATGGTAATTACCCCCTGCTGTTTTGCATCAGGGTAGTATTTGTTCATTTCGACCCTTTTAGGGAGTTATGGCCCTTTGTTAAAAATCTTTGTCTTGATAACTCTTCTTTAACTACTAGAACGATTTCAGCAAAAGTGGGTCATCTAGGCTAACAAGATATGGTATGAAAGTATGTTTTGGCATAGGGAGGGAGTACAAGAAGTATGTCAGTGACATATATACATACATAATTACTGGTGGGAGACTATGGAATAATTTGCAATGCTTTGCCTTAGTTAGCCTTTCGATTACAGTTCTGATTTATATAGGAGCGGGGGTATTAGTTAATCTTTGGCTTACAGTTCTAGTTATTATTTTTGTAGCCTTTTGACCATTCATTAAACAAAATATGAAAGGATATTACACTATTTTATATCGTTAACTCTAAACAAATAAAGCAAGAAAAGATACCCTTGTCTGACTCCCCATACAAAAAAATGTTCGGCACATTTGGTTTTTGTGACCTTGAACAAAGGTCAAGGTCATCAAAATTAACAACACTTAAACTCATTTATATGAACAACCTTCTTACCAAATATCAACACCCAATGACCTTTAGTCATGAAGAAACACAGGTTAAAGGAAATGTGGAAAGAAAGCTATGTTTTTCTTTTTTTCAACCAAAAGTTGTATACGACAAATTTACCGGTTTTCAATTTTTTTGAAATTCCTGACAAGTAAGAAAAATAGACTAGTTTTAGAACTATATGAATTAACGTGTCAAAATGGAAAAATTCTCATTAGAAATGAAATTTCACACACTTTTCTGCTTAATTCTTAAATAAAAAGAACAATTCTTCATTGAAATAGTGTAATATTCGGTATCAAAATAACAGTTGAAATACGTTGCACACGATGATGATATAATTTTATAGTAATTGTGTCATTTAAATGCTCTTTGAGGAATTGTATTACTGCACCTTTAACAACCACACAGGTGTAAGTCAAGGAGGTCCCATTTATCATCAAATGAATTCTGAAACTAACTGTTCCTGATTTAAGCTTCCTATATCCATACCTTTTTGGATTAATCTTGTTTTAAAATTCCAAGTGGGGGCCGACGCTAATGTTAAATCTCCATAAGCGTTGACCCTACCTTTATATTTGTTTTCATATTCTGCTTGTCCTAAGGATTTCTGTTGACTTTCTTGCCAAGGCTTGATCATAGTTCTGTTGTAAAACTTGGTATAGGGTCAAACAACCGGCATCCAAACATTATATATATCTAACAGCTGAGAGTAAGCATAGGCGAGTCACTGTCAGTCATGTTTGGGAAAACTGTTAAGTATTACTTCTACATGATCTGCAGGAGACAAACATGCAAACCACCTATAATAAAGGGAGTAACACGTAACCCTCACATTTAAGCATATTTAACTTCAAAGTAGCGATCTCATCCCTTAACTTTTACTCCTTTGGAAAAACAGTGTTATTCACACTAGCGTCACTGGTATGGAATGGTCTGATGGTAACGGTCTGTGTCCTACTCTTATATAACCACTCTGTAGTTTAATAATTCCTGTCAGTTCTCCTGGTTTTGCCTTTATTGTTTGTATACAGCTTATCCGTTTGTTTTATCAGACTGGGCCCGTTTGTATACAGCTAACCTATATAAGACTGGACCCGTTTGTATACAGCTAACCTTTTATAAGTCTTGCCCGTTTGTATACAGCTAACCTTTTATAAGACTGGGCCCGTTTGTATACAGCCAATCTGATTAAAATCATATGTTACATGGCTTCGTTAACTTCGTACTACGCCTGAACATCTGAGTGTGCCGCGGTCAGGGTCACGTTTAGGTGACCTTTATATTTATAAATACTCATTAAATTTTGACCAATCAGAGACCCTCTATTTTAGACCCTCTATTTTAAAAGGGCGCTCGGAGTTGTAACAAATATGGCGGACATTGATGCGAATGATGCAAAAGTCTGAAACCCGAACAGAAAAAAAGACATTCGAAGCTTTAATAGAGAAGAAAGACTGTATTGCGGTGTTGCCTACGCAATTATTACCCAAAGGGCACGTTTTCCTTTGCGTCACAGAAACGTCAGTTCCCGCCGCCATGTTTGTTTTGGAAAAAATAATCTGTTCGATACCCCTCGCTATTTATCCATCAACCATGATATTCCGATTCACTGGCAAAAGTCTGATTGGTTCATCTAAAGGTCACTTGAACGTGTCCCTGACCGCGGCACATTCAGATGTTCAGGCGGAGCCATGTAACAGATGATTTTAATCAGATTGGTATACAGCTAATCTTTTATAAGACTGGGCACGTTTGTATACAGCTAACATTTTATAAGACTGAGCCCGTTTGTTTTATCAGACTGGGCCCGTTTATATACAGCTAACCTTTTATAAGTCTATCCCGTTTGTTTTATCAGACTGGACCGTTTATATACAGCTAACCTTTTATCAGACTGGGCCCGTTTCTATACAGCTAACCTTTTATAAGTTTATCCCGTTTGTATACAGCTAACCTTTTATAAGGCTATCCGGTTTGTATACAGCTAACCTTTTATAAGTCTGGGCCCGTTTGTTTACAGCTAACCTTTTATCAGACTGGGCCCGTTTGTATACAGCTAACCTTTTATAAAACTGGGCCCGTTTGTACACAGCTAACCTTTTATCAGACAGGGCCCGTTTGTATACAGCTAACCTTTTATAAGTCTGTGCCCATTTGTATACAGCTAACCTTTTATCAGACTGGGCCCATTTGTATACAGCTAACCTTTTATAAGTTTATCCCGTTTGTATACAGCTAACCTTTTATAAGGCTATCCCGTTTGTATACAGCTAACCTTTTATAAGTCTGGGCCCGTTTGTTTACAGCTAACCTTTTATCAGACTGGGCCGGTTTGTATACAGCTAACCTTTTATAAGTCTGGGCCCGTTTGTATACAGCTAACCTTTTATAGGTCTATCCCGTTTATATACAGCTAACCTTTTATAAATCTGGCCCGTTTTTATACAGCTAACCTTTTATAGGTCTATCCCGTTTATATACAGCTAACCTTTTATAAGTCTACCCCGTTTGTATACAGCTAACTTATATAAGACTGGGCCCGTTTGAATACAGCTAACCTTTTATAAGTATATCCCGTTTGTAAACAGCTAACCTTTTATAAGTCGATCCCGTTTGTAAACAGCTAACCTTTTATAAGTCTGTGCCCATTTGTATACAGC